TTTATGCAAATTGATTGCTTTTAGGCCAAATTCATTGCATGATATCTTGTTCTTGTTGCCTATATTGCTTGTATGAACCATTGTAACCTCTTTCCAAGTAGTTATTTTCAAAAATTTTGAAATTTTTGCTATTTGGTTGAAAATGGGGGCTAGGGTTCGAATTCTATGTTGAAAATTTGGGGAATTTGAATCAAAATCATGTGATTACTTGTTGATGAATGAGGTTGTGAATATATTGTCCCTTGTTGTCCTAATTTGAGATTATAGTCCTTTTTTTAGGGGGTTCCATGTCAATTTTTTTCATTTTTTTGAAATTGACTATAGTCTTTTGACTATTCTTTGCTTTGCCTTGTGAATCCACAGTGGGATAATGTGGAATAAGTGTGTGGGGTGACTTTACTCTTAAAAATTGTGTATGATTTTTTTTGAAAAATTGTTCAATTTTGATCCAAAATTTTTGAAAAATATTTTAGCAAAACCATTGTCCTCCAAAACCTTTTTTCAAAAGAATTTTTCTTAAGGTTTTGTCTTTATATTTTCACAAAAAGTTTTAAAATTTGCTTGAGGACAAGCAAAGCTCAAGTGTGGGGGTATTTGATAAGCGTTCTATTAACGTGTTTTATACGATCGTTTATAAACGCTTTTAAACTTAAAACAATTAAATCTTCACACATATGCCTCGTTTTGCTAGAAGTACTTTAAATCGATGATTGGATCAACTACAAGGATGGTAGAATACACATGAAGAAACCGACGGAAAAAGGTCAACCAAACGCATCCCGAAGAACAAAAGGAAAGAAGAAAAATGCACAAAAAGGGTGAAAGCCGCCTGACTTTTACCCCAAACCCATTTTCCACGTCCAAAGAGAAGAAAAGGCGTCCGGAGCAAGAAAAGACGAAAGCTGCCCGGCTTTCGTGAAAGGCGTCCGTCCTTGGGCGCCGTAGGATTAAAACATTAATTCAAGCCAAAGCCGGCCGACTTTTGACAGAAGCCGCCCGACTTTCGTCCCCTGGAACAGAGAAAGGTTATTTCACGCGAAAGCCGCCCGGCTTTCGCGAATGTCATCCGCCTTTCGTCTGGAACTGATTAAAATAGCAACGGTCATCACAATCATTCATGAGAAACTCCAAATCTCATTAAGGAGCTTGCTTCCTTGTCTAAAAATGACCGTTGAAGACCCAATATTTAAGCATATTGAAGCCCTCTCAAGAGACTATTCCATATTCCATACACTTTACTTCCATTTTAGCATTCCAAGATCAACCCCTTGGTCTTGGGAGAAGTTCTACACTTGGAGATTCCATTGTCCACCATAGCTTTGGAGTTGTGATACTACTTTCTTATGTATTCCATTGTATTTCATCATTTCAATATTTGTAATTTCATTATGAATTGTTCTAGCTAATTTTCCATACCCAAGGTTACGGATGAAACTTTACGCACTATGGGTGTTTGATGTATGTTCTCAACCAAATTATTATGATCTTTCCTTTATATTTTAATGTGTATGACTACGGTGTACAACATATGATTATATCGTTGGGTTTATTTGAGCAAATAACGTTGAGTTATAAACCGTGAACTTAAAGGTTTAGACATATAATAATTGTGGATAGAAATATACCTCAATTGAATATGGTGGATTTTATAATGTCCTAATCTTCAATGGGGTTAATTTTAGATGAATGTGAACCGTGACGGGATTCACACGTAGAATTAATCACAATCTCGCTGCTGTAACAGGAGTTAGAATACTTTAGTGACATTCCACTCATAAGAATTGGTGAAAGAACATATATTCATTACTAGGAGTCGTTTAGGAGTAATCCCGAACCCTTGGTTGCTTTTATTATAACTTGAAAACCAAAAATCTATACTCTTTTACTAAGTCTTTTACAAATTCTATTCTCAACTTTTGAATCATATAAACAACGTTTCCTCATGTTCGACCCAGTATTTCTACCGGATTTTATTACTACATTGGCACTTGTACACTTGCAAGTTTAAGCCGATCATGGGTTGATTGGGAACCCCGCTTAAAATTGATGTTGCTGCGGCTACTTTGGCTAGGCCCTTAGTAGCGAGGATCAACGTAGAATTGGATCTAATGAAGGAAATGCCTTCTCACGTGTGGATCAATTGTGGTTCTGTAGGTTTTTCACAACCTATGATTTATGAGAACCAACCTTTGTATTGCACTCATTGCCTCCACCTGGGACATATGGAAGCAAAATGCCCTAAAAAGAATATGGGAGATAAATCTATCACCCTTCCCAAAGACAGATGGATAGCTAAGCCTACCAACCAATCAGGTAAAGAATTTACACATATGGTTAAGTTTACTGCATAGGAGAAAGGAAAAGGACAGATTCAAGACACAACACGGGATAATCCATCTACTTCCAAATTTCATAGCAATGATAATGAAGAATCTGATACCGAGGAGATCTTTTTAGATACTGAAGAACCACTGGAGATTAAATCTAATGATCTTCTTAGCCATGAGTTAAAAGCCTTGCTACTCACTGAAATTCCAGGAATGAAGCCCTCTCGGAAGATCTCAGCTATCAAGGATGACACCCATGTTCTCCAGCTCCACAAGTAGCTTGACTTTGACCCGGAGCTGGCTAAAAAAGAGTACTCCTCTTATGATGAGACCAAGAAACGCCTGCATAAAAAACCAATAGATAACTGGGAATCCAACTGGACACTGGTCAGAGATCTAATGGCATAGTGTGGAGGTGCTTGGATAGAGTTCTGGTAAATTCAAATCTTACTGATGCCTTTGATCAAGTTCAGATATCTATTTTGGACAAAATCCCATCTGATCACAACTATATTATTATTCAGTGGTCCAAAGGGGGTTTCAGTGGTCCAAAATCTTTTAAATTCCAAAATGTTTGGCTGACCCATCCATCCTTTCTGGATACTGTGAAAAAAACTTGGGATTCCAATTTCTTTGGTGGGGGTATGAAAGGCTTAGTTTCTAAGCTTCAATGTCTTAAAAAGGTTCTTAAAGAGTGGACCAAGAATATATTTGGAAACATTTTTTATGACATAAAATTTTGAACTTCTGGTGACACAAGCAAAAAAATCCTATGAAGATTGCCCAAATGAGATAAATAGAGAAAATTGGAGCAAAAGTAGAGCCCTGCTCATTTCAAAATTGAATCGTGAAAGAAAGTTTTGGAAACAGAACACACACATTAAATGTCTCAAAGAAGGGGATGCAAATTCACACTTTTTCCACTCATATGTTAAGGTCAGGCACAAGAAACAGTTTATTACCTCTTCAATCCGATCTCACTCAATAAATGGTTTATCCAGATTATCTCACATGCCAATTGTGCCATAGCCCGATATTCTGATTCAGCACTCGAACGAGAAACCACATTCTGCTTCTTACTTTTCCAAGAGACGAGATTACCACCAACAAAGATGCAATAGCCAAATGTGGATCTTCTATCATCTTTAGATCCATCCCAATCAGCCTCTGTAAAGCTGATTATGATTTGGATAAACAATACCTCGTCCTGGTGTCCCCTTCAAGTAACATAATATATGCTCTACAGCATTCCAATGATCAACTGTTGGAAATGACATATATTGACTTACTACACTCACTGAGTACGCAATATCTGGATGGGTAACTGCGCGATAATTAAGCTTTCCAACCAACCTTCTATATCTTTCCGGATCTTCAAATGGCACGCCTTCATGAGTGAGCTGCACATTGGGAATCATGGGAGTATTGCTCGGTTTTGCCCCTAATTTCCCTATTTGAGTTAGCAAGTCAAGCACATATTTACGTTGAGACAGAGGAACAGTGGACTAAGTTTGGAAAGAATTATCCGAATCGGGTTAGGCACTAATCCATTCCACCCCGTTTATGGGTTATGGGGGATGGAACGGATTTGTGTTATGCTGTCATATCCACTAAGTTTGGAAAGAATTATACCAATCGGGTTATTTGAGGTAACCAAAACCAATCCGAACTCCATTTTTTCGGTTCGGGTCGGTTGACCCGGACCATTTTGCCCAGCCCTACTAGAGATCATCTTGAAAAAGGGTTCCCTAAAGCACTAAATGAAATTGGGGTCTTTAGAGGTTTAGTACTTTAGTACTGTAGTGGTGTAATCTCTCTAGTTCTCTTTCAATTGTAATAAAATAGTAAACTAATACAGTTAATGTAAAACTAAATATGCAAAAGAAGTAGGGCTTAAAGTTACCTCCTGCAACGTAATGCATATAGATTATGCATTATAAGTAATTAGCAAAAAGAACTCGGAAAAAATAATTAAAAACTATTGCACTAATGGACGCAGGAAAATGGATATAGTTCATATCTAGAGTCGGTCTACAACATCATTGATAGACTAAGTCAATGGATATATGCCATGTTTAGAATTCATTAGCATGACATGTGATCCCTATGTCATTGACTGATATGACTAAGGTCTATAGGTCCATAACAACATATTATTGATGTGGTGTGCCATGCGCCAAAAATAAGGCTATGACAAACTTTATTCCACCATGCTTGAAGAGCCTTAGCCATCCCAGTGTGTGTTAAGCTTTTAACGCATAGCTAGGAGTAGTTATACACTTCCGTTGCAGTTGTTTGCCGAACCAAAGAGGCTGCAAACCTTAGGGTGTTTACGAATATGTTGCGGGCACTTGTAGAGAAGATCTTTTGCCCCGGAGAGCCTACCCTCAAAAAATGATTCAAAACCGTGCTGGTATGCTGGGATAGATGGATGTCCCTTACTAGTCATGGACTCGGGCCGGGTCGGGCCCGGGCCGGGCCTAGGCCCAGTCGGGCCGCCGGTTCGTATCATATGGGTCCGGGACCGGCCCGAGGGTTGGACGGGTCCGGTTCGGGCCGGGCCACCCGCCTGGGTCACGGGTCGAGCCACCCGCCGGGCCGGGCCGGGTCGGTTAAATATTTTTTTTTTGTTTTTATAATTTATATTTTATACTTTATAGTTTTATACAAGTATTAAAAAAAACTTCAAGTGCATTTATTTGAAATGAAATAGGAACTACATTTGAAAATTAAATAGGAACTACAATTGTTTTTAAAACATGAAATACTAATCAATAATTCAATCGAAATCTCCGGCATAGGTAGAGCCACCCTCGGTTGTAGATTCGTCCATAAAGTGTTGGGATGGAGTGATGTCAATTTCTTGAGCTCTACGGGCTGCTTTCAACCAATCGTGATAGCATATAAGCATCTCAAGAGATTCAACGCTCAACCTCGTTCTGGTTTGTGTTAGGACATTGCCGGCCGAACTAAATTCTTGTTCCACGGCAACCGTTGAAACCGGCATTGATAGCACTTGCTTAGCCATCTTTGCTAAAACCGGGAACATTCTTTCTTTTCCCTTCCACCAGTTTAGTACGTCAAAATCATCGTCTTCTTCAAAATCAACATCATAAGTTAAATACAAAGAGATCTCATTAATTATGTTTTGTTGTGTAGCGGGAGTTGATTTCGTTTTTTTAATAAGATTGGCAAACGTAGATTTGAAAATTGATTTTCCTTTAGATGATGTTTGTGTCGGGGGAGGGGGCGCATTGACATATTGTGCATGAAACTCATTGAATAATGCATAAAATATATCACTAACCTCATTGTATTCTTTTTTCGGATCAATTGGGTTGTCCTCATACATTGGGAATGGACCAAAAAAACCAGCATAATAATAATTCAAACATTCTTCTAAAGAACCAAGTCTAAAACGAGGATCGAGAACAAATGCAATACCATAAATATGCGGAATATGTGAATAATATTTTAAAAACTTTTCCTTCATAAAACTAGCAAAATAACTCACATAATCAGCATTCTCAAAATTTGAAAAAGCACCGGCGAGATTAACAGCTTCACGAATAAATTGGTTTGAGGTAGGTTTATAAACATGACTAAAAGTTTCAGTTGCATTATTAAAATATATCAAAACATTACAAATTTTTTCACAGGTGTCGATCTCAGCCAAGTTTATAATATAGTTATCATATTGTTTCATAAAAGCAGGAAAATGTTGTTTATATCTAAGAAGAACTCCAATTAACTTATAGGTACTATTCCAACGAATAGACAAATCTTTAGGAAAAGCCACATATCTCTCACCTCTTTCTATCAAATAATCATGTCATTTTTTCCTAAGTTGTCCATTACCCCAAATACGTCATCCCCCATTTACCTTTGCAGGATCTCTTCCTCGCAAGCTCTTTCGTTCGGTTGCGCCCGAGGTTACCCATATCAACCGAATATCTAGGACGATCCATCTAAAAAATGTAGCGATTAATAAAAAATTGTAAAAAAGTAATTAACTATTTATCTAACTATTAATTCGAGTTATAGCAAATTAACTAGTGAATTAACTAGTTTTTTGTACAACCTATTTTTTTAAACTAAAGTCAAATGTAGCAATTAATAAAAAATTATAAAAAAGTAATTAACTATTTATCTAACTATTAATTCGAGTTATAGCAAATTAACTAGTTTTGTGTACAACCTATTTTTTTAAACTAGAGTCAAATGTAGCAATAAATAAAAAATTGTAAAAAAGTAATTAACTATTAATCTAACTATTAATTCGAGTTATAGCAAATTAACTAGAGAATTAACTAGTTTTGTGTACAACATATTTTTTACTAACAATGAAATTAATACACTTTAACTTTAACTATAATTAGAATTACAACTAGTTTTTTAAACTAGAGTCAAATGTAGCAACTAGCAATTAATAAAATATTGTAATAAAGTAATTAACTATTAATCTAACTATTAATTCGAGTTATAGCAAATTGTACAACCTAATTAACTAGTTTTTTTTTCAAGTAACGTTAATACAAAATTAAACAAGTGTAAATAATAGAATAATTTCGTACCTCTTTCGGACTTTCGGTCTTTCGGATGGGAGTAATAGAATGACTTCAAATTAATTAGATATAATTCCAACTATATTAATAGATATAACAAATATATAAGTAATATATAATTAGATAACAAAATATAAGTAATATAATACTATTTATATCTATTTATAGTTTATATAAGTAGATAATTAATATAAACTAAAAATAATAAAGATAATATATTGGAGAATGGAGAATAAGAGAATTAGAGAGTAGAGAGTTAAGAATAGGATTTAGGAAGAATTGGAGAAGAGATGAAAAAATGTTTAAGATTAGAAGTATTTATAGGGTTTTTTACCCCCCACCACCACCACCCACCACCCCCCCCCCCCGGACCCCCCATGCACCTCACCCAACGGCTATATAGCCGTTTGGGTTGTCCCCAGCCCACCCCCCAAGGCCATAACGGTCAGTAAGTATTTAACAAATTTTTTTTAAAAAAAAAATATGACTGTTGGACCCGGACCCGGGCCGGGTCACATTTTTTCGGAACCGTGTCCGCCCCGCCCATTCCCACCGGTTCGGGTCTACACCCGGTCCCGGACCGCCCGACCGGGCCGGTCCCGAACCGCCCGACCGGGCCGGTCCCGGGCACGCACAGTACCGGGCCGGGTCACGGGCCGGGTGGCCTGAACCGAATCCACCCCTATCCCTTACTCATGGCCTGCAGAAACTCCATTGCATCCTCTACTGTCCCTAGCTTGGAAATATAATTATAAAAAGGTTCTACAAAAGGTGGAAAATTGATATTCTTCATTCCACGAAGTAGATCCGGTGCTTCTTCAAGTTTCATTTCCCCCATCAACATTTGAATCAGATTCTTATATGTTGCTTGCCATGGTAGGGCGTGAGTCTTAGCCACCATCTCTTTTAGCAATTCATAAATTCATATGCTCCTAATTTTCCCTGATTGAGAAAACCGTTTATTAATACATCCAACAGATCACCATCAGCATCAACATTTTTCTTCACTGTCTTAGCAAGACAAAGCAATTTTTCGTCTACTGCATTAGCTTCACAGTGGCCTTTGATCAAAAAGAGTTCAAGTCTTGATATCATGATTGCAATCCGAGTCCTACCATTGTATCTATTTACCTCAGAGGCTTCCTCCATTGTTCCTGCTCTACAAAATCCATGAATCAATTGGTTAGTAATAATTTTAAATAAATGAATAAAATAACTAAGTACGTAAATCATATTAAAAAACAAAGGGAGAAAAGTCTCCACTTTTCAATAGTTGTAGATGCATCTTAGACAAACATCATAAAGCTTAACATTAGAAACAGTAGCAAACTGTTACAAGGATAAGTCAAGGGAATAGGAATCAGTTTGCCTCAAGCAATGAGTGTCTTCTTTTAAAGACTTCTTCTCCTGTTCCTCTTTCTTCGCTTCTGTTTTCTTTTCCTTCGTATCAGAGGCCTCAGCCTTTGCCTTCGAATCAGAGGCCTCAGCCTTTGCCTTCGAATCAGAGGCCTCAGCCTTTGCCTTCGTATCAGGGGCCTTTGCCTTCGTATCAGGGGCCTCAGCCTTTGCCTTCGTGTCAGGGGCCTCAGCCTTTGCCTTCGTCTCAGGGGCCTCGGCCTTTGCCTTCGTATCAGGGGCCTCAGCCTTTGTATCAGGGGCCTCAGCCTTTGCCTTCGTATCAGAGGCCTTTGACTTTGTACAAGGGGCCTCGTCCAACCTGTTTGTGTCAAGAGAAAAAGAAAATTAAGTTAAAATTTATCCTTATGGTCATAAATCATTTAAAAAAATGTAAGAGATCAGCATGACAAACCATGGACAGAATTCTTCGAAAAAAACTTTTAGGAAACCCCTATAAGAAAATCACAACGATAATTATGATGAATAAATAAATAAATAAATAACTTAGAAGAGAGAGTGAATCATTTACCCGCTTTGAAATTTATTGAGAGTGTTAAAACCACGTACTGCTGGGGTAAATAAATCAATGTTTTTTGAAACGTAATCATGCACCCAATGGCTATTGCTCACAGTATTGGTGTCTCTTTCATCTACCTTGACCGGGTATAAATGTTCTTGAGCATTTCGGTAAAAATGAAGTGATGATAACAGTCGTATGTTCATCTTTTTTAATACATCACGCACCATAAGAGTCTTCTCATTCGGATCACTGGGAAGTGTAATATTATGCAAAAGCAAATTCACCAAAACTTTATCGTTTTTTATCATCTCAGTCCTGTTTTGGGGAAATGTTGTGTTCATGATCCATGCCTCCTTCTGAAAAATGTGCATGTTGCAGTACAGTATGCGGTGAAGGGCAATCAAAAATTGGATGCGCACATTCTTTGGCCAAAAGATTGGGGGCCTAAGAACCCACAATGCTCCTTTATCTCCTGGTTTACTTGGGAAAAAAGACAAATCAAGAAAATATTAGACAAATCATGATAATATAATATAACAGAAGTCATTAAAGAGATAAGTGAGAGAAGTGATTTTGGTTATAAATACTGATTACAATAAAGACAAACCGGGACACATTTTAAAAAAACTAATGGCTTATGAAACTTGAAACTTGTGGAATAACAGTGGAGAAGAATGTCTAGGGAAATGTCCCAGACCATTAGTATTCCAGCTCTCATCATTTAGATCATTTGGAAAGTGAGAAATGAGGCTAAGTTCAAAAAAGGCAAAATTGATAAAACTGAAGTCATTCAACAAGTTGGGGTCTAATTCAATAATAACCAAAGAATGAACACAAATGAGAACAGCAATTCCAAGGAAAACGCAATGTAGGGTTACTAATTGATAAACATATGGTCCAATTCAACCAAAGCAATTTAACATGTACAATTAGGAAAATCAAGCTCAAAGTAGTTTCTAAGTTCAAACAATGAGTAAAAGAATTAAAAAACAGAGGTATGCAAACTTACTAATTATCGCATGGTAAGAAAGATGAGAGTATGTTGACGCAAAACATGCCCACCTCTACCACTGGTTCTGCATTGATAATTGTCCGTCTTCTCCGCCTGTCTCCTACTTGGGTACTCATAGAACCTTTTAACTAGATATAGCATATCTTTTAAATCAGAACTTGGTAAGCGCTCATCTAGAGCCCTCATATTGTAGAGAAACCCTCTTGAATTGCGTATTACAGCCCCTGTAATGAGTGACCCGTGACAAGAACCGTTCTGGTGCAACCGGTAGAGGGTTCTAAATAAGGAATCAAAAATGGTAATAAAATCGGCACGTATGTACCCCCACCAGGTACATTGTTTGCTCTCCTCCCAAATATTATATTTTTCTGTTAACCACTCTTCTATTTCCGAATCAAAATTCTCTATTAATACCAACTTATCGCACATGTGAATTTGGATCTTTGTTCCTAAACATCCATTAATTTCACTAAAATTACGTTGGTATTCTATCCATATTTTTGCTGAATCCCTATCTTGGAATTCCAGAGCAGAAAATTTTTGGTTCCAAAGGCATACTTCCCACCTTCCTGTCCCACTATTATCCTCATTCTTTTTCTTCTTAAGTGTAGCAACAGGTGCACCCTCTGTGGCCTTTTCAAATTCCTCTAGTATACTTGTCATTGTAGATGTAAGGGAAGTAGATCACTCTGAAAGAGATTAAGAAGTTTCAAGATCAATGATATGTAGTACTTTATAGTTCACACTGACAACTATATGGAAAGTCCTTAAATATCTATCTATCTATATATAGAAGTAAAAGAAAATTTCCACTGAAGTTGCCACTAAAAGAACATTGACATACCACAAGACCCATATACTTGAGCATCCCACTAAAAATAAAATGAAAAAATCTGATCTAATTAGCTTCTGTACATGTCAAAATTTAAATGGAACAACTGTATGTTATATACCTTATTGGTGAATGGTGACTGAAATTAATATTCCGGAGCATTGTCTTTTAGATTATCAAAAACTGTAATGGTAACAATCACTTCCACCTCTTGAGAAACCTAAAATTTAATACTCTGTATAAATTTTTGATTATACAATTTGAAATCACTATTTGGCTGGACAACCCAACAGCTCTCAGCAATATTTTAACTTTCAGTTCTACTCTACCAGAGTGTGTATAAATATGTGTGTATATATATATATATATATATATATATATATATATATATATATATATATATATTGTTGGAGTGTTAGGTAAATACCCAATTAGGCCAACCCATCGTGAGGCACAGGCCCACAAGTACACAACAGGAACAGGCCCAACGGGCGATCCCGTAATTATCAAGATGATACGCCCGCCCATACCCAATGACCCGCCTGGGCGATCACCTCATTATCAAGAAGGCCGGGCCGGGAGTTATCGAAGGATCTGCAACATACAGTGCAACATGCTTGGAGATAATGCATTACCTACCAGTTACACTAATATATAAACCCCTCTTCAAGGTTAGAAGAGGGAATCCGAACTTTAAGCTATTATTCAGTATCCCTCTCTAGAAATATCTCTGTATTCCAGCATTCCTTCCGTTTGTAATTGAGGCTCGATATCTCTTATTCAATAAAATAAATTTCTTCTTGCCTTATTCTTAGTTTGTATACACCATCCACACCCAATCATACCCCATCCGAAAGATAGTGTTGGGCTTTCGGAATCACGCGGAAATAAACATCAACACTATGCGAACTCTGAAAGAAAAATCCTTAAGTGGTCTACTAGAGCTATCTAAAACTTATACAGCTAAGAAGTGAAAGGAAGAGCCAACAACGATACCGGAGACCTCTCAAATCAACTTGAAGCCAGCCGGTGGACCCGAGGGAAAACTCGGAGGGGTGTGGATCCCAAGCGATGGAACAAGGAGATCAAGATCTGGGAAACCTGACACACATGATCCCGGAGGACGTATGGACAAACCCTCGTGTCCGTGCGTTGTCTAGGACCTTGGAGAGACCGGAAACCGGAGCGAAGCCAGACGAGCTTTAGAATCCACAGGAACAAATCGAAGCCCCTTTACACCAATCAGGAAGATGGAGTCATTGGTTTCTTACACAGGGACGAACCAAACCCCCTGCCTATCAAGATTATCAAGATTATAACTAGTTGTCATTTCACTTCACCTTGAACTTTAAAAGCTTTGTGTGTAGTAAGCTCTTCCTTACTGATTGAGGACAGCTGCATAGGAGGAGTTTCTCCTCCAACTTCTGTATTTTCTGTTTCAGTGCTTGTACCCTGACTTTCTTCCTCATTTCTTCGGAATTTTCCACAAGCAACATCGGGATTTTCTGTGTCATAGCTTATACCCTGAATTTCTTCCTCATCTTTTTCGGAATTTTCCACAGGCAACATCTGGAAATGTTTCAGTTTTAAAAAATGTTCTTTATTCCACTTTTAACCGCATTTAAAGCAAAGACCCATCCTGCTCTTGTCTTGCAACTCACTTTGAGATAGCATTTGACCCCTTTCCGACTCTTACTTTGTCCCACTACTTCCTCTGTTTTATTGGTAGCTACTGTTTTGTCTGTGCCTTGAGCATTGCCCAAATTAGCCCTCAACTTACTACCATTTATCCAATGTGCTGCTTCTGTCAGTACATTCGTTTATCCTTCTAACCTCTCTTATCCTCCTCTTTATTTCTCCCATCTTTCCCGGCTAGGTTCTTCTTCTCAAGTAATAAAGGTTTGTCCATCAATTCTACTAAGTTACTGGAATGATACAACTTCAATTCAGCACGAACTTCCTATTTCAGCCCATTTAGGAAAAATGCCATGTCTTTGTCAACATGCCTTAAAGGGGCTACCACCAGTTCAAACGTCTCTCTATATTCCATCACTGTACCCGTTTGTGTCACACTCAAATTTGGCCCAAAAGGGTTTTGGACCAAGTCAGGCCGAAACCTCCTAATCTAAACGGCCTTGAATGATTCCCAGTTTCTATCATCCAATTGTTCCTCCCACCATTGGACACCATTGGAACCAATTAAGAGGTTTATCCTCCATTGCAGTTACAATCATCTCCGCCTCCTCCTCAACAACCTGATTGAGCTTGAACCGCGTCATCTTCGTAATCAAATGTAAGCCTCATCTCTCCATTGAACATAGGTAGATCAACCTTTCGACCAGTTCTCGCATATCCTCTATTCATCGCCTGCTAATGCGCCATCGGCCGGGAGGCGGTCAAATTAGGTGTGGTCGGCCAAGGAGGCTCTAGACAGCGAGCCAAGACTACTCACGTCTCACATGACCTCCGCAACTCCCTGACCCAGAAAAAGGCGTCCAGCAATCCTGAGAGGGCCTCTCCCTTCGTCATTGGAATGCCAACCACATTGGCCCCGGAACCAATCGGAACAACGGTCACCCCGGACTTGCAGGCGGCGATCTCGGTCGTCCTAGCCGCTTTCCAAGGAAAGCCCTCGGCCCTGCAAGCACTGCTGCCCCAGATCGGAGAAAACAGGACCCCGCCTCCGCCTCCTCCGCCACCAATGCCCGTCGTCCCGATTTACCCAGAGCCCGAGCGTGCCGTCACTGAGCACACTCGGGAATCGCCATTCACACGCCTCGGCCCCTCGGCCGAGGGGGCGGGTCGGCCCTGGACCGGTTGGGCGGTAACAGACACCCCGTCCAGGAGCGCCTCAAATCGCACACTGCCTCCAGCGGCAGCACTTCTCCTGGCAGCCAGGGATCTTTCTCCAAGGAGAAGGCCGAAAGAGCAAAGCAGTGGAGAGAGGGGAAGAAGCCGATGCTGGAAGGCGGTAAACATATGGAGCAGCCGAGGGAAACACAGCCGAAGACGCTGATCCTCCACAAGAGTGACGCATGCCACTACATCAACAAGACGCACTCGGTCAGGGCCACCCGGCCGGACAACGCCGAGCATGACCCCTTGGCCGAGGCCGAGCGTGACCCGTGGGATGACGTCATCGCCCTCCTACAGAAACGTCTCGCTGACTTAGAGGCCAGGAGTGCCCCGTCGCAGCCGTCCACACCACCGCCGGATCCCCTGGTCGCCACTCTTTTGCAGAAGGTCGAGGACCTCCAAAAGAGGATGGCCGAGGGTGATATTGAGCCGGTCGTACCGCTGATGACGAGGACTCCGTTCACTGCGCGAGTGTTGGCAGCGCCCATTCCGCCGAAGTACATGGGGCAGCCTATCAAGCCGTATGACGGGAAAACCGACCCCCAGGAACATTTCAGCCGATACCAAAACAACATGCTAATTATGGGGGCCTCGGACGAGTACCTCTGCAAATGGTTCATGACTACTCTTGAAGGGGTAACATATGCTTGGTTCAATGACTTGCCCCAGAATAGTATTGACTCTTGGCAAGATTTGGCCCAGCGATTCCTAACACATTTCGCTGGGCGGACGAGGGCAAAGAAACACTTCTCTCATCTGATGAAGATTCGTCAACGGAAGGACGAGTCTTTGAGGGACTTCATGGAACGATGGAGGACTGAAACCATAGAGGTTCAAGGCGCGGACGATGCCACGAAGCTGGCTATGTTCCAGGGTGTCCTCCAGCCCAGCACCTTTTCTGAGAGTCTCATCACAGATCCTGCAAGGTCTTATCATAAAGCCCTTGAACGCTCTGGCATATATATCGACGCCGAAGAGTTGGGCCTGAAGCGCCCCGTGGGAGAGAATGATCCAGCGAAGCAGAAACAGAAAGCAAAGGACGCTACGCAAAAGACGGCCTCGGCCACACCTGCAGACAAAGGTCGGTCGAGCCGCCGTTTCAAAAGCGTCGGCGACAAGAAGTCTTGGAGGCCGCCTTGGATCAGCAAGCCCCTTACACCCCTCACTCATCCCGTAAGTCATATCCTGGACTACACGGAGAGGAGCGGGTTAGTGGCGGTTTCGCGCGATTCGAGGGCCCAAGAGGTAATGAGGGTCGACTCGGACGAGCCCAACTGCACTTTCCATCGGTCGACTGGGCACGCCACCGATGAATGCGTAACCTTGAAGAAGGCCATTGAGAGGCTCATCCAGAAGGGCCACCTCGGCTAATTCGTCCGACAGACGCAGCAGGGTAGACCCAACACTTGGGTTAACAAAGACAGGAGGGATGTCGAGCCCTCAAAGAAGAAGAGAGAGATCGGGAACCTCAACGATGAAGAGGACGAGGAGACGACGGTGCATGTCACCCATAAAAGGCAGCACGTCAACTTCATCGTTGGGGGGGATACTGGTGGCGACTCGGCCACCCAGAGAAAGAAATGGGCTCAATCACTTTACATCGGGGAAGTGGCTCACGCCCCTCCTCCGGCGTCGAAGAGGCCGAGGGCTGACCCCATCACTTTCTCAGACAAGGACCTGCCGACGGGCCCTCCTATGCACAGGGATGCGCTCGTCATCAAATGTGAGATCAACGATGTCATAGTCCACAGGACTTACGTTGATACCGGAAGCTCCGTCAATATAATGTACCTCAGCACCTTCCGGAAGCTGGGGCTTAACAGAGCTGACCTTCGACCCATTCAGACTCCGTTGTCCAGCTTCACTGCGGATTCAATCGACGCCGAAGGCACGGTGGATCTCCAAGTTGAGGTCGGCGACGGGTCCCATAGGGTTCGATTGCCTATGCAGTTTGTGGTGGTGAAGCTGGAATGCGCCCACAACCTAATTCTCGGACGACCCGGCCTAGAAGACTTGGAGGCCATAATTTCAATGAAGCACCTGTGCTTGAAATTCCTGACCGACACTGGCGTCGACTATGCCAGGGGGAACCAGAGGGTCGCCAGATCTTGCTATCTCCAGATCACCAAGAAGGTCGCCATGGCAGAAATCCGGATTGACATAATCCAGATGACAGTGACCAAAGAGGCCGACCGGCCGAGGGCCGAACCCGTCGAGGACATTGAAGAGGTGCCACTTGACACCAGCCGACCGGACAGGGTGGTACGGATCGGACGAGAGCTAGAGCCAACCCTGCGGTCGGCCATCATCGTCGTGATTCGGTCCTATGTCATCATTTTTGCCTGGGGTCCGGAAGACATGCCTGGCATCAGTCGCAGCATCATCACCCATCAGCTAGCTATGGATCCGGCCGCCAAGCCGGTGAAGCAAAGGAAGAGACACCTGTCGGCCGACCGGCGGGATTTTGTCAAGGTCGAGGTCACCATGCTCCTGGCCATCAAGCACATAAGGGAGGTCAAGTACCCCGAGTGGTTGGCGAACGTCGTCCTGGCACAGAAACCCCCCACATTCTGCATGTGCATGGACTACACTGACTTGAACAAAGCTTGCCCTATGGACCCGTTCCCACTGCCGAACAAGGTGGGGTCGTCCTCATCACCCCCAAAGGCTTCTGTTCATATCATGCCATCCGTTTTAGCTTCAAAGTGTCAAACCATGAGGCCGAATATGAGGCCCTGCTATGCGGGCTCCGACTCGCAGCCAACCTCAAGGCCGAGCGGATAAAAATCAAGTGCGACTTCAAACTGGTCGTGGGCCAAACTACAGGGTCGTATGAGGCCAAGGAAGGGCGAATGAAACAATACAAAGAGGCGACCCTCGAACTGCTCAGAATATGTGAAGCTTATGAGATCAATCAGATCCCGCGAGCTCGAAACTCCGAGGCCGACCTCCTGTCCAGACTGAGCTCGGACGCCCCCGAACGCATATCCAAGGTTGCCCACTTCGAAGAGCTGAGCACATCAAGCATCCATGCCAGCCCGGTCCTCTTCACTCAGCAGAGGGCCCCCGACTGGATTTCCGACATCAAGACATACATCACGGAAGGGGTGCTCCTTGATGATGAAGAGAGGGCGAAACTAGCCAAGATGAGGGCCCTAAGTTACACCATAGAAGATGGTAAGCTTTACAAACGATCCTACAACGGCGCCCTCCTTTGGTGCCTCCACTCGAACGAGGCCGAGGTCGCCATGGAAGAGGTCCACAACGGCATATGCTCTTCACACCAAGGCTCTTTCGCCATGTCTAGGCGCTTGGTGATCCAGGGCTATTTTTGGCCTACAATGTCCAGAGATTGCGCCGACTTAGCCCGCCGCTGCCTAGCTTGCCAACACTTTCAGAAGGCTCCCGGCCGACCGGCAGTCAATTATACCCCTGTTAGCACGGCCATTCCCTTTTCAAGATGGGGGATAGATTTAGCCGGCCCTCTTCCTCGGGGAACCAACAGCAACAGATGGATCATCGTAGCGGTTGATTATTTCACCAAGTGGGTGGAGGCCGAGCCCTTACCAAGCATCACGGCCGGCCGATGCATCCGGTTCATCACAAAGAATCTCTTGACTCGCTTCGGCGTCCCACAACACATCATCACCGATAATGGAACTCAGTTCGAAGCGGCGCCCTTCCAAGATCTGCTCAAGGCTTGGGGGATCAAGCATAGTTTCTCCTCCGTGGCCTACCCTCAGGCCAACGGGCAAGTTGAGAACGCTAACAGAACCATCTTGGAGGGCTTGAAAAAGAAATTGGAGACTGAAGGTGGGGGTTGGGTCGAAGAGTTTCCTGACATCTTATGGGCACATCGGACGACCCCGAGAACAGCAACAGGCGAAACCCCATTCTCCCTCTGCTACGGGACGACCGGCCTCGGCCGAGGCAGCGTAAATCATGGTACCTAAGGCCGATCCCAGAAAAACCTCCGAACGGGAGAAGCGACAGGAATGCCGAGGGCAGCCCTTGGGAGATATTGGGTGACACCCAAAGGGAACAAATGACCAGGCAAGGGAACACTCCCCATTGATCGAATCACACCCAATATCCTAGGTCTCGTCCAAGGATGGGTACCTTCAAGTTTTAACTTGAGTTACATTGAGCATAGGCCGGACGAGCCCCTCACCACCAAAAAAATGATGTAAAAAAAGAGAGAGAGAAAACAATCAAAGTCAAAGGTAAAAAGCCGGGGAGATGGGGCAACGGAAGGTGGCCGACCCCATCAGTTGAAAAAAGGCATCCCCGCGTAACACCTTCTACCCATCGGCCATCTATCCCTTAGTCGATGGTCTTGATTGTGTCGCCGGAAAAACTGCGGAGGGCCGCTAGGGGCTGTATAGCCTCAAGGGCGGTATCGGAAGCGGCTGAGGCACGCATCAGGATCAGGTCCGAGGCCGAGGCCACAAAACCTCCAACCCGGAACCTGAGAAAATAGGATGGTAGGCCGACGCCGTCTACCACCTAGGGAAAAATCACCTCTTGTTTTATCTTTCTGCCGTACTCCTCTAAGGACTTGATCCTGGTTGATTTCTCCTGTATTTCATCCCTTAATTTGCTTATCATAGAAGTCAGTGAAGCCTCCCTTTCTTCCAAGCTAAACTTCTCTTGAGCAAGATCAGCAAGATCAGCAAGTTTCGCCTTCTCTTCCTCCTCAGCATGCTAGGTGGATAGCAAATCGCTTTCTAAAACCTGCATGCGCTTGGCAGCCGCCAAATTGGCTTGTAGCACATGACGTTTGATAATACAAGATATGACAGCATCAGGTGACGTGTAAGTACAAAAGATTATATAGAACATCCACAGTAATGCTGGTATACCTGGAAGGCCAAAGCGGAAGAAGTAGTTTGGTCAGACCTGAAGTAAACTCGAGCTTGGTCAGACCTGGAAGGCCAATGCTGGTATACCTGGAAGGCCAAAGCTGGTATACCACGGTACGTCTACATTGGTCAGACCAGAAATAACCTCCACAGCAGGGGAAAGAAGCATTTGGGCAATTTCGTTTTTCATTTTCAGGGCATTATCGAGACGGCAAAAACCTGAAGTAAACTCGAGCTTCATAGAAACCACGTCATTTGGGGCAGCCTCTGTCCGCGCAATAGAGCTACGAGGTGGCAAGGAACAAGTCGTCGTTGCAGAAACACTTGCGACCGAAGGCAATGAGGGTTCGACCTTTCTTTTCTTGGAATTAAGATTGAGCAGTTCAAGAGGGTTCAGAGTTCGGTGAGACCCTGAGTAGGATGAAGCAGCTGTCGGACGATCAGATGACATACATCAGGATTCTATAGGTAAATTAAATAAAAGCAACAAATCCAAACATTGGAAAAGCCTATGCCTAGAGATGGGAAACACATCATACCAAAAGCACGGGTGACAGTAACGGGAGCGGTGACCACCAGTGCACCCTTCTCTTTAGCAATGGGGGCATCAGCACTGTCAATATCGCTTAAGATATCTTCTTTCTCAGAGCTCTCCACAGAAACAGCCGACGTATCTTGGCATGAACCAAGAAATTTAGACGCATTTCGGGAGGAACGCTGCGAGCCAACATGAACAGGACTGACAGAGGGAGAGTGAATGGTCATACCTCGGAACTCATGCTTGAGGTTGCAGTATAGGCGAATCTCGGGGTCCAGAGCCAAGAAGGCGTTGGTCCTCTCTTCAGCTTGAGGGCCATATTCCATGGAAAATGTTTTTATTTCACCTAAAGAAATAGGAAGATTACTAAAGGCAAGTGACAAAGGCACAGTCTCGGATTTATTAGAGCGAAAGGAAAGGGGTTTACCGGCAACTCTCAAACGATCAGGGAGGTAGTCCCCGGAGCCACTCAGTGAAGACCTTTCAACAAAGAAGAATCTGGTCAACCAACCTCTGTCGTTGGCATTGCTAATCCCCAAGACCAAAGGTTTCGTGCCAGGTTTAAGCGTCAAAATAAACCTCCCCTTCCCAGAGGTACGAAGGTCATAGGAGAAGCCCAAATCCTCAGAGGCGAAGCTCAAACCGTTTTTCTCAATCAAAAACTCCATAGAGCGGAGGAGCCTCCAGGTCTGAGGCATAATTTGACAGGGTGACAATTTCGCAAGGGAGATAAAACCACTTACCAGGGCAGAGAAAGGGAAACGAAGACCTAGTTTCTCAAACGGATATTGGTAGAAATTGATCCAACTAGGGCAAGTCCAATCTACCCGTTCACCACGCTGTGGGTACCGGACTCTCGCATTTACCGGAAAGCCATACGACGGTTCGATCTCCTCCTTGTCCTTAACACGTAAGTCGGCAGCCTTGAGGTTCCTGGTCTCAAAAACGCCCTGGCTCAAAAACACTGTTGTCGCCATAGCATAAAGGAGTAATGGAATTGGAAGTAAAGAGTTCATCCGGCACAGAGTGAAAAGGTAAAGAAGGAGGAAATACGAATGACTGATCAATAAAACTCTTCTGCGGCTGGGGAGAGTTTGTCAGTTGTTGGGAAGAGGGAAAGTTGTAGGAGTCTAGGAAACTTAAAATTCGTAATGATGACAGTCTCTCCACCCGGTTCAACTATCACCAATACGAATGAGGGCAATTGTTGGGCCGGTGCTTTTCCGTGTAATTTGATGTTGGTCCGGATACATTTCTTACGCTTGGGCTGGTTTATAATGCGCATGAAGAAGACCACCTAAGTTCAAATGGGATAAAGATGCCTAGAACGGTTTAGCCAGGTAAAGCATAAGATAAGAAGGGCCAACCGCACGTGGAGGAAAAAGGGGGAACAAGTGCGATACTTGAGGAAGGAGTAGCGTTTTATTTTAAAAAAAGGCATACCGCAGAACATGTAGCACACGATCACTTGATCAATTCCATTAAGCAATCCAACTACACTCTTGTAATCATATTATCATCTTCAAACTATTATTAAATTTCTTTCGTACTTTTACTCCTCAATTTACCCCATTGTTAGATTCATATTTGTTCGATTCCCGTTACAATTTTAGATTAATTTATTCTTGCATAAACATCGAGCTCAACGAGCTTTCGAACACGAACCCGAGCTGAATTTTAAGTTCGAATGTCGGATCGCACCGCCAAACGCTGTGACATTTTTATCATGGCGGGACTGTCTAGGGGACCTAGGGTCTCCTTTCCCTCCGTCTGGATAGGCTCGAGTCAAACTAGCTTTCCCGTGGTAAGAATGTTGTTGTGTCATTTGGGATGGACCGCCGTCCGAGCAGGTACTTGCGGTCCCATTCTCCTGCCCAGGTAAAGACCAATCTCGCTTGACAGTTTTTCCGATGAAGGCTTTTGCAGTGGTCTTCTCTTGGTGCACGCGATGGCGCGTGGGTTCCTGACCAGTGAGATAAGCAGAGGGCGTCATTGAAGGGCTGGCGACCCAATCACGCACGGTCGGGCGAGGAATCCTCCGACGCGAGTGTGGACTGAGAATGCGTGACTGTGATGACGACCTGTTTGGAGTTGGCGTTCTTCTCGGGGGCGACATTGGTGCCGAGCTACTGTGCCCGTTCCGACGATGCGAACCGCGCAGCATTGATGGCGCCATGGAATATGGGGAAGAAGCTATGTTATGCGGCGGCTAGGCTTTTTTGAAATTTGTGGCCGGTCGTATGAGTTCCCAGGGTTTTTAATGAAAAAGCCCAAGACCTTAACAATAAATCCCAGGGGTGTTCATTCGGTAATACCGAACCGAACCGAAATTTCGGTAAACCGAGCAGGTATTTGCGGTCCCATTCTCCTATCCACGTAAAGACCAGTCTCGCTTGACAGTTTTTCCGATGAAGGCTTCTGCATCGGAATTTCGGTTATGCATATTCACATACCGAATACCGAACCGAACTAAATCGGTTTGGTTCGGTAAAAACTGGAAAAAAATCGGTTCGGTAATTGGTAAAACCGAATTACCAAATAGGCATTCAACAATATTTATGTAATAATTTATAAACAAATATTTAAATATATTATATATAATATATAAATACATAATGATATATATATATATATATATATTTCTAAATATATTATAAATAACGATATATATACGTAAATATATAAATATTTATATATTTATGGCTAATATATATATATATATATATATATTATAAATATATAATACATAACGAAATATATATAAATATATAAATATTTATATATTTATGGCTAAAATATATAAATATATTATAAATATTTATATATTTATAAAATATTATTTATTATTTTATTAAGAGAAAAGGGTCAAATAAGGCCTTCTACTATTAAGAAATAGTCACATAAGGCCATGTACTCAATAAAGTGTCGTATAAGTACCTCTACTTGTATAAAGCAATCAAATGAGTTCTAACGGCTTATTTAACACCTCATAATCCCGATTTTAGCTTACATGTCGGTTTTTTTCACTTGTATTTCAACCAATCTTAGTTAAATATTCGACATATGCCGTATAATGTATTCTAAAAAGATGGTCAGAAGTACATTGAAACCGGGATTAGAGGTGTTAAATAGGTCATTAGAACTCCTTTGATTGCTTTTTAGAAGTAGATGTACTTATATGACACTTTATTGAGTAAATGGCCTTATGTGACTATTTCATAACAGTAGAAGGACTTATTTGACCCTTTTCGGTATTCGGTACATACCGAAAACCAAAATATTTATATATGTACCGAACCGAATACCGAATTTTCAAAATTAAATGTACCGATTACCGAACCGAAATTTCGGTTCGGTATTTGGTACGTACCAAAATTTCGGTATCGGTTTGGTTCGGCCGGTTTACCGAATTGTGCACACCCCTAAACAATATTATGAGTTTTTTAACATGGCTCCGGGGTATTTATTTAAAATATAAAGGGAAAGGAGAGCTGACATAGTCTCATTGGATTACGAAAATAATAAGCCTTCGAGTCCTAGGAGGATTGCAATTGAAAGCTTAATATTTTCCACCCGGCAACTATTGTAAGCATATGAATATCGAAGCCCAAATTTGAAGATCATCGGCCAGATTTGACAAATCTGATGAAGAACGTTGCATACAGTCGGGTCAGGGGCGACTCCGCATCCCGGACGCCCCAACTAGCTGACCGGGCATCGAGATCCCCGTTCCTTTCGCAAGCAGCAGAGATCAAAATAAAATGACCGATTAAGACCCGGGGAGCTAACCTTCCTTTGTTTTATTTTGAGGTACCGGTGTACTCTTTTTCCTTTACTAGGTTTTTTTCCCACCGAGTTTTTTCCTAGTAAGGTTTTAACAAGGCATCCCCTCATCATAAACAAAGGAAGAGGTTTTCCTGTCCAAAACAAAGAAGACCTCGGGCTGCTGATCAGATAACCAAGACCCCGGGCTGCTACCCAGACAAGGAGAGTCTCATCCTTACGCGAAGAATGGGCCATAGAGGACGATTACATGGCTGACCTTTCCAGGCACACCGCAGATCGTCATTACCAACGAACATCTATGTAACTGGCTAGCTAGCCTGGAAACCAGAGCCGATTTCAAACCAGCTCAACTACTCCCTTCTAGCCGAGCCTACTACTCGACTAAGGGAGTGGGGGAATCGTGTTTGGATAATGGGACGGGCCCAGAGCTATCGGCCAGTTATCCCCGAACTTAGGCCCGACCAGGCCCAGGACGCAGTCCCGTGAGCGGAAATCATTTCCACCCTTGCTCATTTACTTATTTATCGGGCTGGTTGGCCCGCTAGTTTCAAGATGTATTATTAATTTGGGCCAAGCCCACGTAGATTAGATTTTAGACTTGTGACGGATTCCTATAAATAAGCCATCACCCCCATGTATTCTCCACGTTACTTTTACTATACTGAAGTGTTGTCGTTTTCTCTCTCAAGCTATTTTCTACTAACAAAGAGAGAGTAGTATTTTACCAAAAAATTATTGTTAGTTTCTTTGCAGTAATTATACCTATTTACATTTTTATCGAGCAAAAGCCAACTCTCTTTGTCACCTTTGTTTTCCACCAATGAGTGATGCATTGAATTAAATATTTCATTTTTAGTACTCGGAGTATCTTTTTAAAAATAGTGCCTTATATTACTTCTTTGTAAATGGCGATAAAACTCTTTGCACAACACACATAAGCTCAAGGAATACCACATGCACATACAACAACAACAACCACAACAACAACAAATGTACATGCACACATAAATTTATCTCTCCTTGAATCATCGATAAGATCCTTCCATCACGTTGTAAATCCTTCGACCTTCAAGAAGAAATAGTTCAAAATAACTATTTTTAATACCTGTCTAATCATTTTTTATTATCACGGTTGATCCTTGGGTTACTATCATTATTAACTTGTCATTAAGTTATTAAGAAACATACAAATCGAAATAACCACTTCTTACTTGACCAATTAAAGCCTCTTAAAATTGGAAGTCCTAATATCAAAAGTCATATAAATAAAGGTAAACTTGTAGAGGCATTCTTAAGAATATATGTTCCAAAACATCCAAAATATTGAGTTTTTAAATAGATATGCAAATGAAGGTAATCAAAGAATTCATCCCCCTCCCACTAAGAGGAAACAAACCTCATAAACAATTTAAAGAACCACCTTGTGCAAAAAAGACTCAACCTCTTCAATGTTGCCAGTATTCGGCTAGTGATCAACTTCTCCGGCTAAAGATGACTGAGGACGTGCTGAATAATAATCCATTGTTGCAAGTGATTCGAAAGAAGGGAACTTTACATCTGCACCTAACTGTTCCCCTGAAGAAAGGCACTTCATTATCTTCCTCATCAACGTTGCATAAGGTGAACCCCTCCTTGGATGTCCAATCAACTTCCTACTCCTCACACCGCACATCATTTCTTGCAATTCCTTAATAGACAACAATACCAAAAACAACACTTCTCAATATTCACAAATATATAAACGGATACAAAAATGTTGATACCAGTATGAGTAATTCATCATCCAGATTCAGAGATGAGATAATTACAGGCTGAGTTTAAGCCTTTACCCATTTGGCAAACATTTAGAGCCTACACTTATAGCTCAGTAAAGGCATCCCTCCTCCCATTTCGGTGTTGTCAAGAAATTATTGAAATGCCTGAATTCACATAGTCTAAACCCCCAATCCAGATGAAGTATAAGGGTATTCCAATCAATGCCTAAATTGACATGATCTAAACCCACAATTCAGATGAACAAAAACACCACATAAGAAATACATAAACTAAAATAGCTCATATATATCTTACTTGACTAATAAAGTCTTTAAGAATTGAGAGTCCTAATATAAAAAAGTAGTATAAAAAAGGTGAAAAAATAAATAATGTGAGGAAGATGAAAATATCCAATCGTAGAAAATAAGAATGTATCTTGATGGTGTCATGGGTATTGTACGCACCAATAACATCTTAAAATAAGAAATAAAAGAACCAATTTATGACGGGGATTGTACACACCAATTTGAGTTCATTAAGTTACATTTATGAGTATTATTAAATTACTCAGCTCTTATTCAATTTACTAATGGTATTCAACTTCTTGACACTTAACCTTAGTTGCTTCATTGAATTGAAACTTGAAAGGGTGTGATGCCAGTCTCCACTATTCATTATTTGCCTTGTCAGTCAAATTTAACATTGCATACAGAATTAAAATAATGTAAAATGCTAATGTGTACTTTTGTGTTTAAACTAATGCACAGTTCAAATATGCATTTCCTAATCTATGATAGTGCAAGTTTCCTTTTAATGATTCACAATATCCAAATCTGATGCTGTAGAATCATTCCTATTTCACTCTTTAGATCATGTTCTCATTTGAACCAAATTGTGTCTATATATATATGACAATGTAACGACCGTCCTCAAAACGGCCATTACGATACTCAAACATAAAAGAGTCTCGATAAATCAAGCGGAAATAAAGATACAAAGCCTCGATATGAGACTTTATTCCTTTTAGAACAAAATCAAACCTTACAACCATAACGAAACGCATCCAAAATAACACATCTGTAAAACCATTACACCTGATCAAGATTTAAAAAACGTTTAACAACCCTTTGAAGTACCAACGTACTAAAACCACAACATAACTGATAACCCAATCTTCTCCGTTAACCCATCCAAAACCTTGTCACCGGCTCCATACATTCTCTCAGGCTTCCGTACCTCGTTCATTACCTATAAATGAGAATACGAGAAAATAGAAGTCTCGTAAGCAATAATGCTTAGTAAGTCACCATTTCATCCACTAAAAACGTTTAGGGAATCATAGCTAGCCATAATTAGATACATGAGCTTGAATATTCCATACACATAGCATATTCACACACATAATCATATCACGTAAAACACAACATCATGTAACGAAATCTAAAAGATTTCCTCATTCATCATTCTTTCTTCTTATCTTATTACTTGACTTGATGGGCCCATAGCTCGTGTCCTGGCCCCTCACTAATGACCTTGGGTAGCTAGCCCGTAGCCATCAGAAGTAATCTCGGGACTCCCCGCGGAAGGAGATCCTGCTCCGTTCATCTCAGGTGATTACTTGGGGGAACGGCTACCTTAGAACATTTCTTATCATTCATTAGATATCATTACCATCACAACTTTCATTCATTGTAGGAGTCCATATAAATCCAACCTAACATTAACCATAGAACTTGGATACCTTACATTGATAACTCAACAAGTTCTCAATCAACATCACCTATAAATATATGCACATAACAGG